AAATAAAAGATATTCCATGCAAATGATAATCAAAATAATGCAGGAGTGGCTATATGTTTATCAGACAATTAGATTTAAAGTTGAAACTGTCCCTAGAGACAAACAGCATCATTATATAATGATAAAAGGGTAAATTCAACAGGAAAATATAGCAATTGTAAATATCTATGCACCCAAAATCAGAACACCCAACTATAAAAAGAAATACTAATAGATCTAAAAGGAGAAAGTGATAGCAATACAATGATAGAATATTTCAATTACCCCGTTTTCAACAAAGGACAGAATATCCAGGAAAAACAATTAACAAAGAAGCAGCAGAATGACACTACAAACCAAATGGGCCTGACAGACATACATAGATCTTTCACTCAACAGGAAAATATACATTCTTCTCAAGTGTATATAAAACATTCTTCAGGATAGATCACATGTTATGTCACAAAACAAGAGTTACCCAATTTAAGAAGATTGAAATCACATTATATTGATCAGGGTTCTCCACATAAATGGAACCAATAGGAGGGAGGGAGTGAGGGAGAGAGAGGAATGGAACCAATAGGAGGGGGAGAGAGAGAGAGAGAAACAGATAAATAGGAAACTTATGGAAATGGGGTCATGTGATTATGAAGGCTGAAAAGTACCACAGTATGCCATCTGCCAGGTGCAGAACAAGGAAAGCCAATGATGCAATTCAGCCTGACTCAGAAAGCTTGAGACCCAGAGGAGCCAATGTTGTAAATCCCAGTCCAAGACTGAAAGCCTAAGTACTCCAGGAGTGGGAGTTTGGGGGTGCTATTCTAAGTCCAGGAATCCTAAGGTCTGAGAACCAGAAGCTATAATATACAAAAGGAGAAAATAGATGTCCTGCCTCAAGAAGAAAGAGAGAAATTTGCCCTTCCTTCATCTTTTTATTCTACTTGGACTCGCAATGGATTGATGGATGCCCACCTTCATTTGTGAGGGCCAATACTCTTTACTCTGTCTACTAATTCAAATGCTAATTTCTTCTAGAAACATTATCATAGCACACCCACTTATAATGTTTTACCAGTTGTCTAGATATTCCTTAGCCCAGTCAAGTTGACACGTACAATTAACCAACACAAGTTTACCTTTTATTAACTTGGCACCTAAATCCACTCCTTAACCCACACCTAATTTTCAAATAAATACAAAAACAAGGTCATAATACCACCTGACATGATACAGTTATCCTGCATACAACAGAAAAAGCACAGACCCCTTTCCCAGAAGAAAAGATAAAGTATTTGAGTGATATTTACTCTTTTTATTATATCCCATAACGTAAATACTATATAATTAGCAATGCTTAAATACTGATATAAGGTCAATACATCTTATACATTATATAGAGAACAAGAGAAGAAAGAAAACAAAAGATATTATACACACACATACACACACACACACAATAAACAAACAAAAAAAGAATGTATTCAGCCAACACCGTAACTCCCTTCTTGGTCTGTTGACTCAAAGGCATGAGGAGGCCAAGTGGCCAGGTAGCAGTCTTAACTTCCAGTTTAATGTGATATTGTGATAATGATTATCACAACGATTATTGTGATATCACCTGATGGAAGCACTCCTTCTTCTGGAGCTAAGACCTCTTGGCCAGCAGAACATAAAATTGTGGGAACAAGAAGAAAAATCTTTGCTAGTAGGTCACTGTGGTAATGATGAGTGGTGCCACTCTCATTTCCATTCGTTGGTTCCTGATTCATAAATCCTAGCTATGAGAGAAAGATATTGTACACTGACTTAGATAATATACACCCTTCTGGAGAACTCTGCCCCAGTCCTGCAAAGTATTGTCACCTAGCTGGCAGTATCACTATTTCTTCAAATGGATATTCCACTGTCCTATCAATCCAGCTGCTTCAGGATAGTGAGGAACATGATAAGAACAGTGAATTCTATGAATCTAGGCCTTTTGCCTTGCCTCTGTCTGTGAAGTGAGTTTCTTGGTCAAAGCAATACATTGTGGAATACCATGATGATAGATAAGGCATTCTATAAATAAACAGATGGTAATTTTGACAGAAGCATTGCATGTAGGGAAGACAAATCTGTATTGAGAGTATCTATTCCAGTAAGGACTTTCACTTCCTTGAAAGAAGTGAACTAACGTAATCAACTTGTGACCAGGTAGCTGGCTAATCAGCCTGGGGAATAGTGCCATGTGTTGGTCTCTGCTTCTGGCAGATTGGGCACTCAGTGATGGCTGTAGACAGGTTGGCCTCGGTAAATAGAAGTTTATATTGCTTATCTCAGACATAATTTTTATTTCTGCCACCACGGCCACTTTGTTTATGAGAATGAGTGGCTGGGAAAGAGGATGACTGGTAGCCAGAGATCAGGTCACTATATCCACTTGATTATTAAAATACTCCTCTGCTGAATTTACCCCTGATAAGCATTTATGTAGAACACAAACATCTTGACCATTCAGAATGTTTATTGACCATTCAGAGTGGCTTCATGACCATTCAGAATGATCCATCTGTATACCTCTTTTTAAATTTCTTTGTCATCAATTTTCTAATAATGTTCCTTAGTCCTTGACCATCAAGCAAAACCATTGAGTACAGCCCCTAAATTGCAGATATCCACTTTTGGATGGTACTTGCAGAAACATCTGTAAGCCAGGCTGACGTTTTCTCTTTCTCTGTCAACTAATAGGTAACTATCCATGAAGCTGAGAGTGCAGAGTAGGAGAGAGAAGGCAGTGTAGCAGGAGTCGGGGCCATGTACATTCAGGCTCTTTCTTCATACAAATTACTTGTGTTTTCAGAGTTTTTTTCAGGGCCTGATAACCTATATATCACTTCTATTTAATGATGGAGTGCTGCTGTGGTTGCCCATATGGCTTGATGGGTCAGATAACACCTTGTTCATGATAGGAAGCTCAGGTCACATGGTAACTTGGTGGCCAATGATCAAGTGTGCATTTTCTACTAACACTTAGCAGCAGGCCTGTAATTCAACCATAGGGACCTGCCAAAGGCTCCAAATAGCATTCCTACGTGCCCCTGATGTTTCAAGTACCACTGGACATACTGGATCATAAGGCACAATGATCTGCTGGCAGAGCAGCTTGCACAGAAGCCTAGACTTGTTGCAGAGCCTTCTCTTGCTCTGGGACCCACTTAAGACAAGCAGCTTTTTGGATCACTCATTAATCTCGCTAGAGCAACACAACCAAATGGTAACTATGACAGAAATACAGTCAAATGACAAATGAAAAACTGGGGGAAATATCTGGAATTAACATCACAGATAAGGCGTAATTTCTTAAATGGAAATCTCTTCGGTCTTGTTTAGTAAAAGATAAGTAACACCGTAGAAAAATGGGGAAAAGGCATGAACATAGACAAAATAATCCCTAGGGGTGTAAAAAAGTCCAACTTTATTTATTGTAAGAGAAATACTTATTGAAATTACACTTATCAAGGAAATGGGGAATCAGATGTTCTCATATATTGCTCGTGGGAACATAGAGTTATCTAACTGTATGGAAGTCAGTTCAGCAATATATATCAACACTATAATACCATGTGTCTTTGACCCAGCATTCTCATTTCTGGGAATGTATTCAACAGATGCATCTAGATTTATAAAAGAAATATTTACAAGGTCATTAATTCAACCATGATGTGTAATAGAACAATCTTGGAAATAATCCAAGAGTGCATTAATAGTGGCTGCTTAAATAAATTATGATACATGCATCAAAACTACAATAAAAATTAAGCAACTCTGTATATTAATTTGGAAAGATCTCCCAAATATATTGTTAAATGGAAAACTTCAGGCATTAAAGATATATCTTGAATCATAAAATATTGCAGATATGATGCCAGCTTCACGGCTGCTCAGACTTTGGCCTACATCTGCTGCAAATCCCTTTTTTTCTCTAAGACCCATAAAAAACTCAAAAGTCTTTTGTACTACCTGATAAATGGGTCAAAGCAATATTCACCAGTGCAAAATTGTGCAATTGCTCCCAAAACCCTAGGAGACTTCCCACATGTTTTACTATTTGAGAGTTACAAAAAACAGTAACTTGTCCTTTACTTTGAAGAGAATATCTCAATAGGACATTCCTTACAACTGGGCTTCTGTGCCTCTAAAAACTTCACTGATATGTGAAGGCCTTGGATCTTTGTAGAATTTCTACAAAGATTGAAACGTCTACCTTCTAAAGTTAATGTAACAAATGGAAGCAAGGCTTCCAACATAGTTGGCATTTTTTTTATCATTCTGTAGGATGATACATGCATCAAAACAACAAGTAAGCTACTGTCATCCACTATGATCGCTCTACTTTATGCAGGCACCAAACTGATAAATTGTTTGGGGGTGTGATGGAGACTATTACCCTTTAAGTCTCTGAGGGTGGTACAAATCTCTGTCATTCCTCGGGGGATGTAAAAATCATTTTTAATTTTGATGTATATCTTAGGCTGAGGACACAGAATTTAAGGGCTTCTACTTGTATTTTCCTACTACTATTGATCTCACTCTTTAGGTGAAGAAAGCACTATATGGTTTGTGCCGCTTGCTTGATGTATTCATTTCTATTGTATGTTTCAGAACTGGGGAAATGACCACAGGGTATGTCTGTGAACCCATCTGAGCCACGAGGAAGCCAATAATCACTTTAACTGCTGATTCTTACTTACTCCTATTCCAACACATTGGCCATGATTTACTGCAGTTCTCAGTACATTAAAATCAGTCCTTGATTCAACAGTCCTAAAAAAAACTTTGGGTATTCTTTCCCCATAAGTAATGGCCATGGGTCTCTGAGGAGAATAGGAATTTACTACTCTATATAATTGCCCAAGTATTACAGGATCCTTCTTCATGGGGACCCAGGCTCTTCAGTCAAAAAGGGGTTATTGCGCAGTTCTTCAGGGGAGGGGCAGCAAGAATAAGAAATACTGATTGGCTTCCTCAAATGCTCCTTTAAGCAGTGTGAAGATGAGGGAGAGGAGAAGAATATGAAAAATGGAATTCCTGCCAAAATCCAAGTTGCCAGGACAAAAAAACAGGGGAAAAAGGTGACTTTCCAATTTTAATTTTTAATATAAGTAATGTCCTTAGGAGAATGTAGAAAAGAGGAGTTCAAGAAGAATGGGACTTTCATCTAGAGAAGAATTTTTCCAGTCTTAGCAATGGAGAGACACGTGAGAAGTGATAAAAAATCTTTAAGAAACAAAATGAATACTACGACTCCAATGTTGGCAGGAAATTAGTGAGAAAGACATTGGACTTCAAGAGGCCTGGAGGGAATGAGGAGCATTTCAGTGGCTAACTGTGTGGATATTTGGGAACCAAATAAAACAATGACTGTTTCAGAGACTGTTGCAGGGCTGGTAACTCAAGGCTATCTTTCCTCAAATGTCTTCCGCACACTCTCAAGAACTTAGACCTAATGTCTGTGAAAATGGTAGGAGAAAGGTCAAAATTAGTGTTGTTCTCTTGCTTTTCAAAATGGAAATTAGATTAATTGAGGTTAGAAATAAAATTTAAATTCCCCAGAGGGTAACTTAATTCTTAACACACAGGAAAAATTGCCTGAATGAATCTTTACAGATAGATACTCAGAGAATCATCTATCAATCACTTGTACTTCTTGGAACTTCTGGTATGATGCACAAGGTGGATCTCTTAGAATTGACAGACATTTTGCCTCTTTCTCTCTGTTTGTAAATTAGGACTGGGATGGGAGGAGCAGCCAAGAGATTTTATAAGCCACAGTGTGCATGATGGATGAGAACACAGGACACATACCAGCGAAGGGCAGGTCGTATAATAACGTTATGCTAACAGATTGGAAATGCAAATAATCAGGGAGCTCATGTGCTATCTTTCTCACTGTGACTCTACTTTGTGCTATTTATTGAATGTACTATTACTTATAAGTGGATGTCTGAGCCAAAAATATGTCATTTTCTACAGACATAGGTTTTAAAAATTGGGGAAAATTAAAATATTAATGTATTAAGAGTAACAATATTCAGACCATATATTATATTCTTGTTCAAACAAGCTAAAAATATTGAAGATGCTACATGAAAGCTTATGCCAAAAATGCAAAAGTGTAATGAACAAATTCCTGTTAGACTGAGTTTAATAAACAAAAAGGCACTTCTTTTTTGATGTTACCACAGAAACCCAATAAGAGAGAAATGTGATCTAACTGGCTTAAATAAAAGATAATGATGAAACCTATTTTCATAAATATGCATTAGTCAAATATTTTGATGATTAAAAAGCAAGCCTAACTATTATACCTACAAAGGAAGTCTATAAATAATCAAATGCTTTTTATCAACATCAAAATATCTGATTTTTCTATTTCCTTAACTTTGTAGCCTATTGAAATAAAAAATGAGAACATTATTTGAAGCTATTATGATCTGATTGTATGCTATATGAAAGCATGAAAAGACATTTGGATCAAATGGAGTGTGCATTAAAAGAAATCAACTGTTTTTCAGAAAATAGGGGGAAGTTCTATATATATTATATAAAAGAACAAAATAATAAATCAGGTTTCTCACATGCTTTATAGAAAATGTTACTTATCGACACTGGACTAAAAAAAGACTGTGTGCACAACCCATAGATAACCCAAGTCTTACTGAGAGAAAACATCAGACAAATCCTAATTGAGAACATTCTACAAAATACCTGACCAGCACTCCTGAAAACCACCAAGGTCAGGAAAAACAAAAAATGGTAACTAAATGTAATGTGATGTCGTGAATAGGGTTCTGGATCAGGAAAGGACATTAGGTAAAAACTAAGGAAAATTGAATAAATAATAATGTAGTAATATTGCTCATTAATTTTCACAAATATATCACCCTAATTTAAGATATAATAATAGGAGAAACTGGGTGTTGGACATATATATGGGTGCCCTCTATATGACCCAATTTTCCTGTAAATATAAAAGTATCCTAAAATAAAATGTTTATTTTAAAAAAAATCCCCCCCTCCAAAAAAATCCTGTGAATCTGTTTAATGTACTGCAGTATGAACATGATTTCAGAGGGTGAACAGTTAATAAATGTTTTTATGACAGCTCAATAAATCCATCCCCTTCTCTAAGGTTTTCAGGTTTACTTTCTGGCACTACAAGAGATACTCTAGGCTCAACTTGCTTACTACTTGCCCCAGTCCGGCCATCAGCCATTCCTGTTTCCTTTTATTGGAGAATAGAAGAATCTAAGGACTGGGATGTTACTGGTGTTTTGTTGCTTCTAGGCCCTGCCAGCTGGCTGACAGATCAAGGAAATATACCTGGTATATTAACCTATATATATCTGTGAATTTTTTTTGAGTGTAATCATATATAATTATATTAAGCTAAACATTAGTTCATATTTAGGACTCCAACTCTAAATCATTACCCGTGTGGATCATTCCAGTCTTCTGTCTTTGTGTATCTGTGGCCTCTCAATCCATGGATGTTCTTTTACTTGGCCATCCTTCCCCCATGGTTCAAGGGTATAGTAAGCATTTAGTGATTCTGCATAAATGTTCTGCATATCAATATTCAAGTATTTGTTCAATGTGTATGATTTTGATTTAAAGTTATCAGCACCAAATGAAGGCTAGGAGGCTAAATTAAACAGAAATTAAATTGGCTAAAGTTAGAGATACCTTTTTTAAAAAGTATATGTTACTGAGTAAGCTTATTTGTATAATTGGAATTTTAATTTTATCTACTTATATATTGGGCACTTTGGGAAAATATACTGTCTTCACATAGGAGAGATATCATTTGAACATATTCTATAAACTAAAAATAAACAATAGAAATTGTTCTTGATTATTACTGATAGTGATTTTTTTTTTTTTTTTACTTTTTTAAAGATTTTTCTGGTCAAACAGTGCCATCTGTCTACTGGCCCACATTGCAGATGTATAAGTTTAACACTGTAGCAAATATTTTCTTTTAATTAATAATTTCTGAAAATTAGATTCACTGGCACCTTGACTTTATCTGATGTCTAGCAATTATGAGTTCCTATTTAAACTCATAAGTTGTTTCAAGTCATAAACTTCATAAATAAAGTGAAACTGGAGTCAAGATTTCTCTGTTCTCTGTCATCACAGCTTTGCCTTTTTACCAGCTGGGTGACCTTAACAAGTTACCTCTCTGAGCCTTGTTTTCTTCATCTGTAAAATACAGATTATAAGTCTACCTTTAAAAATATTGTAAAGATGAAATTAACAAAAGATATAAAGGCCCTGAATATGCTCAAAAGAAAAGTTTGTTGCATTTATCTACAGAACATAAAAATTGTTTTTAGCCTTCATTTTGCAAAAATAGAGATGCCCATTTCTCTAATTTCAGGGTTACATTGTACAATGTTATTTCAATTGAATGGATCAATGGACACATTAATTTAGAAAAATAATACTTAAATTTATAGCCATTGACTTATTTGGACAATAATTGAATTTATAGCAGCAGAAATGATGAAAGATACCTTTACTTTCCCATAAAAATGTAATTATAGTGGAGAGTAACATTCCTGAAGGGATGAGTTCCCAAATTTTATTAATCAATATATTATGGCAATTATCATAATTAACAAAACAAATTATATTCCTCAGTACTATTCATTACAAACCTATCTAAATTCCATATCCAACAATCAGCAAGTTAATACAGGAATAAATAGCATATATAACATTTATTTACTTTTACTTAGCAGACTCCAGGAAGAGGGAATGTGCTTGGTTGGGAAAGGGTTGAAGGAGGAACATGAGAAGAGAAGAAATGAGTTGGACATAAGAAATTTAGAGGCTGGGCCCGTGGCTCATGCCTGTAATCCCAGCATTTTGCGAGGCTGAGACGGGCAGATCACCTGAGGTCAGGAGTTCAAGATGAGCCTGACCAACGTGGAGAAATCCTGTCTCTATTAAAAATACAAAATTAACCAGGTGTAGTGATGCATGCCTGAATTCCAGCTATTTGGGAGGCTGAAGTAGGAGAATTGCTTGAACCCGGGGAGATGGAGGTCGTGGTGAGCCAAGATCATGCCATTGCACTCCAGCCTGGGCAACAAGGCAAAGTTCTGTCTCAAAAAAAAAAAAAAGAAGAAAATTTAGAAAGATACTCCTTGAAGCTCCTTGCTGATGGAATAGTTCACTGGAGTATAAGTGGCAAGATACAGGGGTAAGAGTCTCTAACTCCAAAAAACAAAACAAAACAAAACAAAACAAAAATGTAATGAAGACCCAATTTGTTTAATTTCCTAAGCCTATCTTAAGTGGTGGCAGTGATAATGATAATGATGATTTTACCCTCTTCCATTAATAAGGAACAATAAAGTTTGTGTAATTGACCTTCACTTGAAGGGTAAAACTTGTTGGTCTTGGTATTCTCTTCACTAGTGACTTATTAAGAATGAAAATGAGAAGAGGAGGTGGAGCAAGATGGTCAAATAGAACCATTCACTGATCATCCTCCCCGCAGGAACACCAAATTGAACAACTATCTACATAATAAAGCACCTTCATAAGAAGCAAAAATCAGGTGAGTGGTCACAGTACCTGATTTTAATTTATATCACTGAAGGAGGCACTGAAAGGGGTAGGGAAGACAGTCTTGAATTGTTGATGCCACCACTCCTCCATGTGGCAGTGGCCACATGGGGCAGAGAGAGAACCTGTGCATTTGGGGAAGGGAGAGCACAGTGACTATGAGACTTTGCATTAGAACTCAGTTCTGACATAATAGCAGAAAGTGACACCAGGCAGAATTCAGCCAGCACTCGTGGAGGGAATATTTATACTAGCCCTAGGCAGAGTAGAATCACCCATCCCAGCAGTTAAAACCTGAGTTCCGGCAAGCCTCACTACCATGGGCTAAAGTGCTCTGGGACCCTGAATAAACTTGAAAGGCAACCTAGGCCACAAGGACTGCAATTCCTGGCCAGGTCCAGGTGGGGTGTTGGGGTTGGAGCCAGTGAACATGGGGGGCATGTGACCTAATGAGATATCAGCTGGGCAGTCGAGGCAGTGCTTGCACTACCCTTCCCTCAACCCCAGGCAGCACAGTTTGCAACTCCAGGAAAGACTCCTTCCCTCTGCTTGAGGAGAAGAGAGGGAAGAGTAAAGAGGACTTTGTCTTGTAACGTGGATACCAACTCAGCCACAGTAGGATAGGGCAATGGGCAGAGTCCTGAGACTCCCATTCAAAGCCCTACCTCTCAGAAAACATTTCTAGACATACCTTGGGCCAGAAGGGAACCTGCTGCCTTGAAGGGAAGGGCCTAATCCTGGCAGGATTCATCACCTGCTGAGTAAAGAGCCCTTGGACCCTGAATAGTGAGCAGTGGTAGCCAGGCAGTACTTGCTCTGGGCCTTGGTGAGACTCAGAGGTGGGCTGGTTTCAGGTGTGACCCAGAAAATTCCCAACTGTGGTGGCTGTGAGAAACTCCTGCTTGAGAAAAGGAGAGGAAAAAGTAAAGGCTACTTTGTCTTGTAGCTTAGGTACCAGCTTGACCACAGTGGGGAAGAGCACAAAGTAGACTCTTGGGGTCTCCAATTCTAGGCGTTGGCTCTTGGATGGCATTTCTGGACATGTCCTGGCCCAGAGGGGAGCCCACTGCCCTGAGTAGAGAGTCCCAAGCCTGGAAGCATACACTGCAAGCTGACTAAAGAGCCCTTGGGCCTTGAGTGAACATCATCAGTAGCCAGGCAGTACTAATTGTGGGCCTGAGGTTGTGGTGGCCATGGGGAGAGACTTCCTTGCTTGCAGAAAGGGGAAGGAAGAGTGGGAAAGATTTTGTCTTGTAGCTTTCATGTCAAACATGAAGGAGAAATGAAGATTTTCTAGACAAACAAAAACTGAGGGAATCCATTAACGCCAGACCTGTACTACTGGAAATGCTAAAGGAAGTTCTTCAATATGAAAGAAAAATACAATAATGAACAGTAAGAAATCATCTGAAGGTGCAAAACTCACCAGTAATAGTAAGTACACGAAAAACATTCAATATTATAGCTTGATAGTTATGGTGTATGAACTACTCATTCCTTGAGTAGGAAGGATAAACAATGAACCAATCAAAAATAACAGCTACAAATTTCAAGCCATAGACATTAAAATAAGATATAAACTAAAAGAATAAAACATTAAAAGTGGGGAGACAAAGTTGAAGTGTAGATTTTTTATTAGTTTTATTTTTGTGTTTTTCTGCTTATGAAATCAGTGTTGTCATTAGTTTAATATAATGGGTTATAAGATATTATTTGCAAGCCTCATGGTAACCTTAAATAAAAAAACATACAACAGATACACAAAAAATAAAAAGCAAGAAATTAAAACACAAGAAAATCACCTTTACTAAAAAAAAAGGAAGTAAAAAAAGAATGAAGAGACGACCATAAAACAAGCAGAAAACAAATAACAAAATGGCAGGTGTAGGTTCCTTTTTTTTTTTCTTTTCTTTTTTTCTTTTCTTTTTTTTTTTTTTTTTTGAGATGGAGTCTTGCTCTGTCACCCAGGCTGGAGTGCAGTGGTACAATATTGGCTCACTGCAACCTCCACCTCCCAGGTTCAAACAATTCTCCTGCCTCAGCTTCCCAAGTAGCTGGGACTACAGGTGTGTGCCACCACGCCCAGCTAATTTTTTGTATTTTTAATAGAGATGGGGTTTCACCATGCTAGCCAGGATGGTCTCAATCTCCTGACCTCATGATCCACCTGCTTCAGCCTCCCAAAGTGCTGGGATTACAGGCGTGAGCCACTGCACCCGGCCAGGAATAAGTTCTTATTCATCAATAATAACATTGAATGTAAACGGACTAAACTCTCCAATCAAAAGACACAAAATGGCTGAATGGATTAAAAAGAAAACCCAATGATCTGTTGCCTACAAGAAACATATTTCACCCACAGACTGAAAATGAAGAGATGGAAAGATATTTCATGAAAATGGAAATTAAAAAAGAGAAAAAGTAGCTATACTTACATAAGACAAAAGAGATTTCAAGATAAAAACTGTATAAAAAGACAAAGAATGCCATCATTCAGCAAAAGGATATAACAATTATAAATATATCTTCACCCAACACTGAAGAACCCATGTATATAAAGCAAATATTATTACAGCTAAAGAGATATATGGATCAGAATAAGATAATAGCTGGAGACTTCAACACCCTACTTTCAGTATCTGGTAGATCTTACAGACACAAAAGCAACAAACACTGGACTTAATATGCACTGTAGATCAAATGGACCTAATAGATATTTACAGAACATTTCATCCAAGAGCTGCAGAATATACATTCTTTCCCTCAGCACATGGATCATTCTCAAGGGTTGATCATATGGTAGCACACAAAACAAGCCTTAAGAAATTCAAAAAAATTGAGAATATATGAAATATCTTCTCTCACCACAATGGAATAAAACTAGAATCAATAATAAGAGGAATTTTGGAGACTGTACAAGCACATGGAAATTAAGCAATATGCTCCTGAATGCCCAGTGGGTCAATGAAAAAGTTAAGAAGAAAATTAAACATTTTCTTGAAACAAATGATAATGGAAACATAACATATCAAAACCTTTGGAAAATAGTGAAAGCACTATTAAAAGGAAAGTTTACAGCTATAAGCATCTATATAAAAAAGCTAAACAATTTTAAATGAATAACCTAAAAGTACATCTTAAAGAAAAGGAAAAGCAAGAGAAAACCAAATCTGAAATTAATAGAAGAAAAGAAATCACAAAGATCAGAGCAGAATTAAAATTGAAATGAAGAAAACAAGACAAAAAATCAACAAAATAAAAAGTTGTTTTTTAAAAATGATAAACCAAATTGACAAGCTAGTAGCCAGACTAAGTAAAAAGGAGAGAAGACTGAAATAAATAAAATCAGAGAAGAAAAAGGAGACATTACAACTCAGACCACAGAAATTTGAAAGATCATTAGAGGATACTGTGAACAACTATGTCTCAATAGATTGGAAAACTTAGAAGAAATGGACAAATTCCTAGGCACACATAACCTACCAGGATTGAACCATGAAGAAATCCAAAACCTGCACAGATCAATAACAAGTAATAAGATTGAAGCCCTAATAAAATGTCTCTCAGCAAAGAAAGTTCTGGGAACTGATGGCTTCACTGCAGAATTTTACCAAAGACTTAAGAACTAATACCAAGTATACTCAAAACTATTCTAAAAAATAAAGGAGCGGGGAATACTTCCAAACTCATTCTACAAGATCAATATTACCCTGATACCAAAATCAGGCAAAGACACATCAAAACAAGAAAACTACAGGCCAATATCCCTGATGAATATTGATGTAAAAATTATCAACAAAACATTAGCACACCAAATTCAACATTACATTAAAAAGATCATTCATCAGGACAAAGTCAGTTTTATCCCAGGGATGCAAGAATGGTTCAAGATACACAAATCAATCATTTTGACATGTCATATTGACAGAATGAAGGACAGAAACCATATGATCATTTCAATGGATGCTGAAAAGCATTTCATAAAATTCAACATCCCTTCATGACAAAAAACCCTCAAAAAATGGATATAGAAGGAACAGACTTCAACACAATAAAAACTATATATGCAGACCCATATCTGGTGTCATACTGGATATGGCAAAACTGAAAGCCTTTCCTCTTAGATCTGGAACATGACAAGGATACTCACTTTCATCACTATTATTCAACGTATTACTGGACATCTTAGCTACAACAATCAGACCACAAAAAAAAAAAAAAAAAAAAAAAAAAGGAAATAAAGGGCATCTGAATTGGAAAGGAAGAAGTTAAATTATCATTTTTTACAGATTATGTAATCTTATTGGAAAAACCTAAATACTCCATCAAAAACTATTATAACTGATAAACAAATTAAGTAAAGTTGCAGGATACAAAATCAATATACAAAAATAAGCAGCATTTTTATTTCAGCAATGAACTATCTGAAAAAGAAATCAAGAAAGTAACCCATTTATGATAGCTAAAACTAAAATAAAATACCAAGGAATAAGCTTAACAAAGAAGTGAAAGATCTCTACAATGAAAACAATAAAATGTTGATGCAAGAAACTGAAGGGGACACACACAATAATATAACAACATTCCCAGTTCTTATACAGGAAGAATTAATGTTGTTATGATGTCCATATCACCCAAAGCAATCTACAGACTCAGTGCAATCCCCAACAAAATATGAATAACATGTTTCACAGAAATAGAAAAAAAATCCTAAAACTTACGTGGAACCATAAAAGATTCAGAATAGACAAAGCCGTCCTTAGCAAAAAGAATGAAACTACGGGAATCACATTACCTGACTTCAAATTGTACTACAGAGCCATAGTAACCAGAACAGCATGGTACTGGCATAAAACAGACCAATGGAACAAAATAGAGAACCAAGAAACAAATCTATATACTGACACTGAACTCATTTTCAACAAAGGTGCCAAGAACATTCATTTGGGAAAGGATGGTCTCTTCAGTAAAGGGTGCTGGGAAAACTGGATATACATATGTAGGAAAATGGAACTAGACTTCTGTCTCTCTCACCATATACAAAAATTAAATCAAAGTGGATTAAAGATTTAAATGTAACACACGAAACTACTAGAAGAAGACTTTGGGGAAATTCTCCAGGATATTCAATGGGCCAAATATTTCTTGAGTAATACCTTATAAACACAGGCTGCCGAAGCAAAAATGAACAAATAGCATCACATCAACTTAAAAAGCTTCTGAACAGCAAAGGAAAAGAAAAAGTGAAGAGACAACCCACAGAATGGGAAAAAATATTTGAAAACTATCCACCTGACAAGGAATTAATAATCAGAATATACATAAAGCTCAAACAACTGCTACATGAATGATTTTCTTAATTTCTCTATAAATTCCCAGAAAACCTTTGAAATCATTCATGACTATGATGTTATTCCATAAGTTCTTCCAGCAGGCATTTACAGCTTCTGGTTTTAATTCATCCATTGCAACTTTGATGAATGTTTTTTCACCAGAAATAGTGAATGATATCCAGCCTTAAATTATGTCCAGATTATAGTCTGCATCAATTGCTGATCTATTAAAAATCAAGTACCAGGTGAATGAATGTGACCTTGACAAACCAAGTGATGCCTTGGTTAAGGGGCTGAAGCAGTTAGGTTGTTATTTAGAGATATAAGGGCAATCTCAACATTTTCATTTTCAAGGCAGAGAGATTCAGGATGGCCAGGTGAATTGTCTATTATTAATAAGATTTTAAATGCCAACCTTTCCTCTTCCAAGTATTTGTTCACTCCTGGGATGAAACAGTGGTAGAACCATCTCATGAACTAGATGGCTGTCACCTACGTTTTCTTATTGTGTAGCCATAACGGGGGCCATTAATTTTTGTTTTTGTTTTTGAGAACACTTTCTACACTGTGCATGACTTTATCATATGTCCTACATTTCCACTTAGTACCAGAGTTGATCTGTCCTTTCATGTGATTCCCTGGAGCCTCCTTTGCACTTTTATGTATTTAGGTTCTGTTGAGCATCTTCTTCCAGAACAGTGTGGTTTCACTGCAGTTGGAGACTTGCTTTGGATGGCTTCCTTTCCCCTTACACAGCTTCTTCAACTCTACTGGAAATGTAGTACCAGTTTCTTCATTGGCAGATATCACCTTTCCAGTCAATTTTATATTTTTCAGTCCAAACCCATGCTTAAATCCAAGTATCCTTTACTTGCAGTAAATGCCTTGCTTCCCTCATTTCAAGGGAATCTGTTGCTTAAGTCTTACAGGCTCAATGCTTTCTAGGCTTTCTAGTGCAGCACATGTAGTCAAACATGTTTCTGTTCATGTCTTACACCTACAAATTTAATGCCTTTTTCATCTTATCTAAACACTTATCATGCACTGTGGCCATAACATTTGGAGCTTGAGGTGTGACAGCAAACCTAGCATGAATTTTTTTTTCCTTTCTTTACAATGTTATGAATGAAAGACTCCCTCTTACCATAGATTTTAGCAACTTCAGCATATATTTTTCTTTCCTTATTAAGTTGAGAATTTTAAGCTTTTAAAAGATATTTTATCACTTCTCTTTGACATATCTGAATTGCCAGTATCACTACTCTTGGGTTTTGAGCCTTTTTAAGTAAATTAAGGATCACCTAAAGCCAACCACTGAGATACCACCACAATTGATCTGATAACCCACAGGACTGAGAAGTGATTAACAGGTGGGTGTTTTCTACAGCGTGGAGAGGCTGAACAGAGGGGGGATTGACACCCAGAGCAGGACAGAGTGGGATAGCATGAGATTTCATCATGCTACTAAGAATCACGCACAAGTTAAAACTTGTGAATTGCTTGTTTCTGGAATTTTTCATTTAAGATTTTCAGACTATGGTTGACCGCAGGTTACTGAAATCTCAGAAAGCAAAACTGGGGCTCAAGGGGGACTCCTGTATGCCTCCTGCCTTGTTAATATACAGCTCCCCTCATAGAGTTTAATTCTCTGCATTATTAATTACTTACACCAGGAGAACACACCACCTTCATGGGTGGGTGCCTGAATTCTTTTCCTGTTACCATATAGAATAATATTTACATTGTGCTTTGAAAAATACAGTTGTCTAGCAAAAGCAATATTATTACTTCAACAAAATTTCAAAAATATAAATTTAATGAAAGAGAGAATGAGAAGTTCCACTCATATTATTTGGCAACATCTGAGGTTTAGGATTGAAGGCCTTCAATAAGGAGAGGGTGATGAGGATGAGTTATCCATTTTTAATTATTTTTGTGCGATTTTTCCTGCGGTATAAACTTTCAACCACTGTGACTAGAAAAGAGCAAGCTGTAAAGGTGTGAATTATTTTCTGCCTCAGCACATTTCATTCCTCATAATATTTTAAAAATCTAAAATTTAACTTACATCAAGAAAAAATTCAATAAAATTACACATGCACAAAATAACTGGTTAATTTTCACATTTCTGTCTCTCACCTGTGCAGATAAGTTTTTATTCTAACCTGAATATTTTTGCTCTCTAATACCTGAAGCCAACCACTGAGCTACCACCACAGTTGATCTGATAATCCACAAGGCTCCTACGTGACTAACAGGTGAGTGGTCTCTACAGCGTGGAGATGCTGAACAACGGGAGGATTCACTTCCAGAGTAGGACAGAGTGGGACGGTATGAGATTTCACCACGCTACTTAGAATCACTCACAAATTAAAACTTGTGAATTGTTGATTTCATTGCTTTCTTAAGTAGAGACATTTTCGCTTCACAAGTCACCTAATTTCAAGAATTCCACATCATTTAAAGATCTTCCCCTATATATATTCACTCTCATACTTGCCCTTTCCTTGTCTATATGAATTTGAGAATAAGACTTCACACTTGTATTTCTTACCCAGTTATCCCAGGAATGACCCCCTTCTCTTCTGTCCTCAACACCCCTTAACCAGCTAGGGCAAGAAGTATCCATTACCTCCAGGTAGGCTTATTAATTATGGCAGAACACAGAAAAAAGTCGGTACTTAGTTTATGAGCTTCAGAAGCTTAAGCCGCAAAGTCAGTCACAGCCAGTGTTTTCTGTCTCAGCAGATAATATTCAAGTTTGCCAGACTGTAAGTGGGTGGATACAATAGGGTTAGATGTTGGCGTGATTCCCAGAGACAAGGTTCTGTGCCCTGGCTGAAATCTCAGGCCAAATGCCAGGGAAAAGAAGAATAGAAACCCTAATTAGAGGATGGAAGTTTTGAACAGAAGTTCAAGTAAATCCTTGGGCAATAGCAAGATCCCAAGGGTTCCTGCATCCAACATGGTATATACAGTGTGGGCAGGAGTTGCCTGTGGCAGGTCTGAGCAAAAAGGGTCTGCGAAAGCCTGGGAGACTTATTTTTTTGCCAGTATGGCTTGGGAGTACAGCCTTGGAGTATTTTTCCAGGCTCTCTAGAGAGGCATTGCTGTAATGAAACAATTGGAACAAAAAGCTCTAAGGTTGGGGAGAAGACTCAGCTGCAAGTGATGTAGGCTAGATGGGATAATATGATGAGGTAGATTTCAGCAGATGCCAGCATGAAGTTATCATAGTAAATAAGGACTAATTTCATCTCCTGTGCACCTTTGTGACCTGATACACTCACTAGTCACTACTTAGGTTTTCTCATCTTCTCCCATGTTTACTTTGCTGCAGGATAGGAATTAATTACTTCTTTGTTGTAAAACTTTTAACTCAAATAGTGTCTGCCTACTTATTTATCAAATTCAGAATTTTAAGAATATGTATATATCTGAAGTATAATAATGAAAAAGGGATTTGAACCTGATTTGTGGAAAATATTGAGTCAATTTGGAGTATCATGTGCACGTGGATTGGCTTAAAAATTAATTTTTAAAACACCTCACTTAATAATAGAACACTCTTATTACAGTTTAAAATTGCAGTATACTAAAAGTTTGTTTAAAAATAACAGAATATAAATTCTGTAAGTGATTATAGTTCAGAGTGAGAGATGTTTGGGAAGAACATAAAAAATTGAAGGAAAAAATAAACTCTTTTCAAATGTGCTGATGGCGATGTTTGAATATTTGAAAAGCAGATGGGTCACAGCCTTAACATGCATGACCTAGATGATAATAAACAAATTACTGTAATGCATTTTTTGCTAATACATCTGTATAAGCATATTTAATAATTCAGAGAAATTATTGTACACTGATTTTGTTGACTTTAAAAGTTAGTTCTTTTCCTATAATTGCAATGTGATTAATCCCTCCAGGTTATATAAACCTAAAATTCTTTTTAAAATGACATAGCAACAGTGCAAAATGGAGTGTATTTCTATTGTCTAGCATGGTGCCTGGTACATAGGTATTTTAAAAACAATGGTTTTTGAAATAATCAATGTGATTTCCTTTTCTAAATATTATGTTACTAATGTTAATGCAATTTAAAATTGCCTTATCTTAAAAACTCATAGAGAGAATGGGGTCAACAAAAAAACCACAACACTTTATCTTGACAATATTTCTGTGAAATAATGTTTTTCTCACTGCATTTTCATAATTTTTTTACACTTAAGTACAAAACCCTTTGATTATTTATATCATGTACTTTCTCCTTCTTCTTCTTCTTCTTCTTCTTCTTCTTCTTCTTCTTCTTCTTCTTTCTTCTTTCTTCTTTCTTCCTTCTTCCTTCTTCTTCCTCCTCCTCCTCCTCTTCTTCTTCTTCCTCTTCCTCTTCCTCTTCCTCCTCTTCTTCTTCTTCTTCTTCTTCTTCTTCTTCTTCTTCTTCTTCTTCTTCTTCTTCTTCTTCTTCTTCTTCTTCTTCTTCTTCTTCTTCTTCTTCTTCTTCTTCTTCTTCTTCTTCTTTTTTAATGAAAGAGGCTCCCTGTGTTGCCCAGGTTGGACTCAAGTGCCTGGGCTCACATCATCCTCTAGCCTCAGTCTCCCAACTAGATGAGACTACAGGTAGCATCATCATGCCTGCCTTCATGTACTTTTAAATCAAGATGCCTACTAATTTTTCTTTTTTAAAAAAATATTTTGTCAATTAGTCTCAAAATATAAGATAATTTGACCAGGTTGTCATAGTGTACAGATTTTACATTACAGGATTAAAAGAGACAATAAAGAACATTAATATCCTATGGGTATAAGTATCTAATTTAAAAAGCTTTTCATATTCCATGGAGTGGCTATTGAAACCACTATGTCCTACCAAGCATTAGAGATAAGTTAAAAATGCTTAACTGACGTTTACAGTTACTATTAATTTTATTTGACTAACGTACAAAGTAATGATAATTAACCAAAAACCAATATGTGTGAGAGAGATTATAATATAGATAATGTGGTAGATAGAACAATGTGTCCCCATAGCATCCAAATTAAGATGTCTACATCTTAATTCCCAGAACTTGTGAATATGTTACCTTAAATGCAAAAGGAATTTTGCAGGTATGATTAAATTAAATATATCGAGATGGGAAGATGAGCCTGGATTATGCAGGTGGGCCCAGTGTAATCATCGGGGATCTAGTAAGGGAAAGAAGGAGGCAGGGTGGTTAGAGATATGAAGATAAAAGCAGAGAGATTAGAAGATGCTAGGCTGTTGGCCATGAAGATGGAGGCAGGTGCCCTGTGTCAAACAATGCAAGTGGCCCCTAGAAGCTGGAAAGGCAAGGAACAGCTTCTCCCACTAGAGCCTGCAGAAGGAATGCAGTTCCACAGACATCCTGATCTTAGGACTTCTGACATTCAGAGCTGTAAGATAATAAGTTTGTGTTGCTTTTAAGCCATTTAGTTTGTGGGAATTCACCACAATAGTTAAAACTAATATAGATGCCAAGGTCTATGTCCAGTCAGTAGGGGCCTACCCCATGTTTCTTAAATCTTCTTGGAACTGGTGCTTCATATCATAGGATTGTGAGACGGCTCACTCACTAGGAAGCAAGCAACATGAAGAACCTACAGCATGGAGTTCTTAATTTGGAAAATAGATCCCTCAGGAGATCTCTGCTTCCCCAACAAATTGTGTGCGTTTACCTGGGGAAAGTTATCTGTAGCTTTCCACAGTTTCCCAAAATAAGTCCAGGGAGGGCTTAAAAAAAGGTTAAGAACTACACAATTAGAACAATGATTCTAATTCTGGTTTATTTAATTTCTGATTCAGGTTTATTTAATTTTATTAAGTAATTTGTAAAATTGAAGTTTATTGTTAAAATTGCAATGATAGAAGGAAATATTTCAACAACAAAATAAATAATACATGTAAATATAAGTAATCTGTAAAATTGCAGATTATCAGGAAAATTGCAACCATATGGGGAAATGATATTTCAATGACAAATATAAGTAAATAGAGGGGAGATAACACATCCAGAGGTAAAAAACTGAAGACTCTCAAATTCCAGACTACAGATGAGGTTTTTTAGGGCTTGCTCAGGTGTCCAGGTGATACACACTTAACTCCTATAGCAACGGAAGATGCTCTGGTTTAGGCTATTTTTCTGACTCCTATTGGCACTGTGTTAGTAACCAGTAGACTTCTGGATTTGCAGCGAGTCACCTTGGTAGCCATTTAATTTAACAGGTTCTTATTTAATTTCCACAAGATTCCCTGAAGGTCAGAGAATTTCCTGAGGCACATAACTATTTGGGAGGGCTCTGGGATTTTAATACAGGCCTGAATTTTCATTGAATCTAGGAAGCAGTGAGATGGTGGGGGGAAGGAATCAATTTCTTAAGTAACATGCAAGGGAAAGAGTATTTTGAGCAGCTACCTAGAGCTATAAAGCACTTCTCAGTGGTGATTCAGCACCAGCAGCATCAGCATCCCCTGGGAACTTGTTAAAAATGCAGTTCTCAGGCTCCACTCCAGACCTACCTACAGAACTGGAAACTCTAGGGACAGAACTCAGTAATCTGTGTTTTAATAAGCCCTTCTGGTGTTTCTAATTCCAAAGTATGAGAACCACTGACCTCTCTATCTGCCAATAGAGCATATTGCATTGATTTCTGTGTTCAGAAAACAATAGTTAAATTAGCAGTTAATTTTCCCAAAGTGGGAGGGAGATGGAAAGGGGAAAGAATGAAGGCAAAGCAAGTTAACAGGAAAAGGAGAAATTAACCTGATTTTTCTTTGTCTTCTTTTTTCTCCTTTAAAAACTATAAGTGCAATCCTTTCCTGATCATTTGTGGCTGAAGAAAATGTATTTCTTTCTAGGGCATAGGCTTCTAACCTGGAGACTATCAGGAGGCTGTGAGAAAGCTTCTAGGGGTTTATGAGCCTCCTAGGCCTCTTCCCTGTGACTGCATTTTCATCATGGGTCAATAGTTCAGCCTTAGCTAATTTACTATAGTCTTAACAGCTAAGTTTATAATACCAAGTATGTTCATCAAAGTCAAATTCGATTAAGGCAAAATACATTGGCTGGGGCTGATTTAAAGCAAACACCAAAGGACATAGTTACTTTAATTCAAAAATTTCTTAGCTATTCTAACTCAACATATTTACTCAACTCTAGCACTGTCTTTCTTAGTTTTAAGGCTCATCCAGGTATGCCAAAATCTAGGATCACCATATGACAAGTGCTAAATGGGACAGGGT